AAAAAACTTTTGTAAAGCATTACCATGCGCTCGACACTGAAATATTTAAAATTGAGATTCTACTGACAAACATACACTTGTGGATGTACAAGTGACCTAAATTGCTAGGTAATGCATCCAGAGAGCTAAATATGTGGCACTACATCAGAAATTCATATACTCAATACTGAATTCATGCATCACATGCATTGATCATAACAAATTCATAATGCCGGACTTAAATTTGCTGAGAAATGTCTCATCTATTACTGAGATAGAGTACAGTAGTCATTGACTATCATATAAAAGGGCATACTGGTCAGACTAAAATTCCGGTACACAACTATGAGATCCACAAATTCGAGTTAATAAAAAACTGTAATCTAAGAGACCCAATTGAAGCATTGAACAGAAGATGCGTCCAACACTATAACACTACAACAACTAAGCAAAGACTTTCACAAGCAAAACACCGTCAGTTTGTTGAAAGCCAAGGCTTTACATAAAAGAAAAGAAAACTCAAATCTAGTAGCTGCTGCAAGTTGCTAACAAGTAGCCGAAAAAGAAAAGTGATTCATCATCATGATGATCCAGAAAAGAAACTCAATCAATCCCATTAAAGCAGAAATATCCAAAAAAAAAAAAAATTAACACAGTTACTGCAAATAATTAAATCTAACTCCGACCCCATTAACCCCCTGCACAGAAAAGAAATATTAAACAACAAAATCAAAAGGCCGGTTCAAAGAAGAAACATAAAAAGGGGACCACAAATCAGATCAAACTAAGAAACTAAACAAGAGTAAATTTTACCTGAAAACTAAGCCTAAATGGTTCTTGAATATCCCCAGCCATATTTTTGATTATTTGTCTTGTAATCATATCCTAATTCATCTGTAAATTATCAACAAAACCCACAAAAGAACATCACAAAGGGTCACAAAATCTGTAAAAAAAACCTCATTATATCAGCAATTATCATAAGCTTTAGAAATGAATCATCACTTTGAAGTAAGACAGGACCTTGAAGAGAAGGAAGGGAGAGAAGTACAGGGAGAATGCTTAAATGGGTTTCTTTGGAATGAATCAAGGAGTGAAAAAATGTGTACAAGAATTGGTTCTTTGCTTTAAAGATGAGACTTCAGGAAGTGGGAGTGAGCGAGCGTGAAAGAGAGGCTTTGTTCAGTTTTCTTGCAGTGAAAATGAAGATGAACTGATGAAGCTGAAGAACCCAAGTGTTGTGGCTGTTAAAATGAGTGAAAGTAAGAGAGGTTTAGTGTCCCCTGCCTGCGTGTACTATTACCGTATTGTGTGTTTTTCATTTTTTTTGGTTTTTATTTATAGTAATTAAATCAACTTAATTATTTGTACTCGTGTTTAATTAGGATACTTGGGTATTCTTTATTTTAGCCCTCGAAACGAATCAAACATTTCAATTGAGCCCTTGCAACTCAACATGAATACATGATCCATATTGCTACTATTTGATGTCCAAATGATGTAGGAAGACCAATCAGAAAAGGTTGGTAATTTACCTCCTCTTTTTCTAGTATAAGTAACATTAAAAGAAGAAGATTGTCGACCTGTATCATTTCATGTCGTACTCTCTTTTTTTCTTTTAATTATGTAAAATTTTTATGATAAATATCAATGATTGAACGCGTGTATGTATGTGTGTGTATATATATATATTATTATTTTTTGATAAATTAATTTTACTTTACCATAAGGCTTCTGTCAAGGACAAGCTTTCATTTACATGTCAAATAAGAAACACAAGTGGCTTTGAATAACAAATCAGAACGTTCATGTTTGCAGGGACAATTTGGAAGAGAGTTTCTTCTTTAGAGGACCAAAATCAGAAAGAATTTTAGTATTTTTAAGGCCAAAATGTGGGATCCATTTCGTTTATGGTCAATAGTAATGGTGGGATCTTCATTTTTTTTTTTTTTTGGTTGATAATATGGTGGGATCTTCATCTTAAAATGAGTCAAAACTGACAAGATTAAATATGCAGACTTTAGAGTCTCTCTCTATTTGTGCCTTTTAATCTTTTTTCCCGAATTAATCAGAATAAAATATAATTATAGAAGGATAATAAATAAATACTGTACAAGATTGGTAACGCTTCAATCATGATCGTATGCTGAAAGGGTGCATGAATGATGTGATACTATTCCACTTTTTGTCTGCTTATGATATCTGAAATCTGGACCATGCAAAATTTGGGCCTATGCTTGTTCTCTTTTCACCATCAGATGATGTTGATGTTTGATAACCGTCCGATCTTTGTAATCCGACGGATAGGAAAAATTGGAGTGAGATGGACAGTCCTGGGGGGTTTGAGGTTCTGCCACTTGGCATTTTGAACTTTGGACTATTGGCCCATTGTTCTTTTTATTTCACTTTTCTTCTTTGGCTGAATTCCAGTGGAAGTAGAAAGAACAAAGAAAAAAGGGTTTCAGCAAAGAAGACGAAGGCGAAAAGGTGGGCATCATTACAAGAATGAATGGGAGCTGGTGACTGCAACAAGAATTGTCAATGGATAGAAAAAGGAAAATGGTGGACCAATCAATTGAAAAAAAAAAAAAACTAACCTAGTTGTGCATTTTTCCAATTTCAACGTAATTTCATGTTGTAATGTCTAGAAAAGAAAAGTAGATAATTGTTAGAAGTAATTTTTTTCAATTTTAATGCTCAATTTTGTGTATGCAATATAAAGAATGCGACAAACCGTTCATAAAATTTTATCTTCTATCTCTTCTCGTTCCGGTCTTCTCTAAAAAGAAAAAAAAATTAAAGAATAATAGGAGAAGGAATGAAAAAGTTATCTAAAGAATTTTTTTTATCTATATTTCTTTTTTGCTTTATTTTTGCCTTAAAATGATCAATAGGCTGATAAATAGTACAGATACAAGGTTTAAGTATTGATTTGAGTGCAAATACAAGGTTTAGGTAATTGACTACAAGCCCAAATTGTACCTCTCTAGAGGTCTAAGAAAGGGTCCCTGATTATGGACTAAGTGGACTGATAATGTTCTAGGTTACTATAGCCTAATTGTTGGAGTGACTAAAGCTATGAAAAAAATGCAATAATCTCACTTTTTACTCTTCATTTTCTTTGTTAAATAAATATTTGTATGTACACATGGAAAGCTAGGGCAACATGTACTATAATATTTTCTAAATTTGGATGTTAAAGAATGTATTAAAAAAAAAGAAAATAAGGAAGTGTCATTCATATTTTTGCACCTTTGATGCATAAACTCATATTTAATTGTCTCTTTTTGCAATTATATACTTTCTCAATTTAACTTTAACTTTTCAAAAAACTAACATTGAAGACCCTAATTAATCGGTGCTCCAACAAACCCAATAAACAAAGGTGTCTAAAAGGGTTATTAGCATAAGTAAAAAGCGATTCATTATTGCACAAATGCATCTCATACATAAATCACGTGCTAATGTATTATCAAATATATCCAACAGTAAAAATGTACACAAATGCACGACCAAACACTATTGCATTTGTGTTTTATATCAAAAAATTGGTAATGTTGCATGTTCCCATGCCACCAAAATCTTGAGCTAAGCTAAGTTGCTTTCTTTAGATTCTATCATTTTGTAAACCTTTGATCCGAGCAAACCATAATGGTTTGATCACCAAAACCCCAACAACCAAGAAATCCATGCACAAACATAACATGGTATTTGGCGAATAAAACAAGAACAATCCAAAATATTTGGCCTCCATGCATGGAACATGTGCATGTCTCACCATACCCGACAATTGTATTCTTTTTGGGACGGCCACCGCCCCAAGCCACCGTGTAGAAGTTGAAATTTGATCCCCCAAAATGAAGCTTGCACCACCAAGTACAAGCCTCTCTCCGCCGTGCTTGGATCTAGCCCCTCCTCCAAATTAAAACCCTATTTATTCTATCACCGAATGGTCCCAACTGACTCGTGCTTAGGAACCCCTTGTGGTCCATCTTTGCATGCGATTGTTCAAAACTTGAAGAAGTAAGATAATGTGTTTGTTTTGCCAGAACCAAGAAAAAATTTTACAAAGTTTTTTTTTTTTTTTCTAATTTTTCGAATTTCTTACTAGTAGAAACTCATATTTACTGTTGAAATTGCATTTTCTTTTTGGCTTAGTTTCATCAAAAATATTTAGAATATCACTTATGGTTTTGTTATATAGCAATCTTGGTTGTGTTACAGATGCTAAGCGTCATTAATCAAGTTCGACACGGAAAAATATCCGGCACAGAAAAAAAAAAAAGAATCATTTTTTCAACAAATTTCCATCTTTCAATGTGATTTACAGATTCCTAGACTTGTTCACTGTGCCAACTTGGGGAAATTATTGATTTGTAGTGTCTAAAAACTTTTAGAGTAGAACAAATTTTAGTCATTTATCAATGGTGGTCCAGGTCCAAAATGAAAGTGATGTATGCATAATATTCCGGCAGCGATTTAGTACTTCCAGTGCATCTTTGAGTCTCTGACTTGCCCTGGAAAACTGGAGGACAAAAATATAGAGTTGCTTATTTACCTTTCTTAAACTTCGAATAGATAAACTAGCTAAAAAATTAAAAAGAAAATAAATTGTGATTTCTAATTAAAGAAGAAAAAAAACATTTGGGTTTCCGCGAGTTCCTATCAGTCTTTTAAACACCAATCTTTAATGCCAAAGTAAAATTTATGCATGTTGAGTTCCAAAAGAGCAAAAAACAAAAAAAAAAAAAATGATGAATATAATAAATTAAGGTAGGTGGATATAATAAATCGAAGTCCCTGATCAAAGACTACCTATATATAATGTCAATATTGCTCCAGAAAATCAAAATTTAAATAGTTTGTCATTTATGGTGCTTCTTTTGTAAGCTGTAGGCATCAATTGGACAAAAAATTGTATTCCAAGGATAGTAATATCGTGGAATAGGACGGAGAGATGGACCAACATATATACCCCTAAAATTCTAATTCTATTCCTACAAAGTTCAAACATCGGAACCCTAACCACATCTGCCCGATATGACGAACATCAACAGAAACGAGATGACGAATTCAAGGACCAGAGATTGAACATTAGAGCCTGTTGGTACAGTCCCGAAGAACGCTTGGGCCTTCACATCAAATATTAGACATAGGGTGCCACTAGCAAGAATTGCTCCCAACAGCTGTGCCACAATATACAAAGGCACCTGCAAAGTCCATTTTCAACAAATTAAATATTGAGAATCTTCAACGCCACATTTTTTCAGTTTTACCTTGGCAAATCCATTAAGGGAAATAGCTCAAATTTCTAATCTATTTGAAAAAAAGGTGAATTAATATAACATTGAAGAGCTATCTCCATAATTTTTTGCAGTAATTTATTTGTTAGAAACCATATTGTGTCATATTTGCTCTTACAAATTTCATGCTCTAAGAAAGGGGTAGCTGGAAATTAGCCATAACAATATCAGGATATAAGTAGAGCCATGCTAGACTAGCTCAAAGGCAAGAAATCATTTTAATTGGAAAAACTATAAGATTTACTCATTTAGAGAAGGAAATTTTGTATTATGCTAAAAAATGCAATATTAACGGAGATGAAGAGAGGGCCAAAGCTTGAAACCTGCCTGTTTATAAGGGAAATGTCGAAAGATGGCAAAAGTGATGGTAACTGCAGGATTGAAATGAGCACCAGAAATGTGTCCAACAGCATAAACCATGACCATTACTATCAAACCCCATGCTATACATACTCCTGGAAATGTTATTGACTCGTAAATTTTGTTAACAGCTACAGAACCACACCCAATAAATATCAAAAAATAAGTCCCAATTGCCTCAGCAAATACCTTATAAAATGGCAAAAAAAAAAAGAAAAGAGAAATTATATCAGTATCATTCACTTCAATCGGATTGAGAAATAAAAAGGTATATTATTTGCAAACCTTTTGGATGATCAAAACCACATCAGTTGAAGCACAGAAAGTAGTTTTTTCATTTGATTTGTAGGGAAAACTTGAGGCATTTCCCTCTTCAAGTGCTGCAATTTCTTTCTCCGACATTTTGTAGTTGTTCAACAAACAAACTAAAACATTTGTTTTCAACAATTATTAGTAAGAGTTTTTGTAAAGGAAAAAACTTTTTGTTCTTCCTAAAAGAGGAGGTTGAGTGGAACAAAAGTAAAAAGATTTATGGCTGTGGATAAGCTGAAAATTACTGGTAAAGCAACGCCTAGAAATGGTGAACGGATATTAGGCTTTCAAGTATAATACTGGTGTATTAGACATTCACCGCAATATTGGTTTTTATTTTTTCTAGCCTACTATTTGAGAACAAATATAACTTTTTTTTCTTTGTTTAGCAATTATGTATAAGCTGTAAATAGACTTATTATTCAAAAAAAAAATACATACATATCTTTTGACACAATTCTCCCAAAATTCAATGTTCAGCAAAGTTGCGGATTATGATTCACACAACAATAAGTTAAATCTTCACCCTATGAGTATATAAAATTCATCTTATGATCTGATCAGGTGACTTGATTACCCATAAGACATGATAGTAGCTTCTTATGTAAAGTTAATCATTTTCTATAACTTACAAGAACTTGTCAACATCTCAGTCAACAAGAAAAAGACTGTGTTTACCACAAAAACTGCCAAGTAAAAAAAAAAAAAAAAGAGACCAAAAGAGTTGTTCAATTCGACTTAATTTGGAGTATTTTAATTTAGTTGAGTGTCTGGTATAATACTCGGCCTTAAAAGTTTAATTGTAATTCAGTACCTAGCCTTTAGGAGGGGTCTATTATGTAAATAATTAAATTTTCTTAGTTTTGAATTACTTAATGAATTTCAATTATCTACAAAAACAATTGAAGAACGACAACTTTTGTATAATAACGGGCTGTACTGGAACAAATCTGAATTATATCAGCTGTATAAACGTGCATCTGTAACTTGGACTAATCATTTGCCCTCAAAAAGAAATAATGCAGTGATATTAATGAAGGTTCTATGTTAAAATGGAATTCAGGTGTTTATATTCTAGAAAAGTAATGTTAATTAGGAAAAATATATAAATGCAATACAGGATAATCATCGTTAGTGTGCAAATTCATATGATAGTTTAGATGTAATGTAAGTGTAGTAATGAGGGGAGGACACTTATTTAAAAAAAAATCCATTAAAGAAAAAACATATATATTTTTTATATTTTAATTAAAGCAACTTTGTGGTTGGATTGAAATAAAAATCTAGAAATTGTTTTAGCCCAAGGTATATTGGTTGACTTAGCCCAAGATTGAAGGGACTCAGTCCATTCAAACCTTTATCAAATCTTTTGGGAATGTGGATTCCCTTGGAAGAATAGGTGAAAACCAATGTGAATAATAATGAACTAAAAAGATAGGTCCATCAATGCACATGATCATTGTTGAGAACAATTTATTTGATTTCAGGTGGGCATAGTCCAACAGGAAAATTATGTTGGAGTCAATCAAAAAAAATAAATGATTAAACTGGTCAAGTTCTTCAAGATGAATAGCAACATTCAATGCCGGTTCATGCCCACTACGGAAAACCAAGTAATGAGAAGAAATTATGTAAGAATTTCAAACATATGATTACTTCCTGGTATTGGATTTCTTTATCCTCATCATTCTCTTTTATACTATGTGAATCACATTTCTTCCTTAATTGGTGGATTAGCTTCTTACTCCTTGAGATAATGCACTTAGTTCCCCTAATTACGCTCGAACTAGCCTTGCTAAATTACTAAACATTGATGATTCAATCATTTTAACTGCGCTGGTAAAAATTCCTCTTACCTGATAAGGGATCAAAGAATTGCTGACCATCTATCCTATTTTGATCATATCCAAGATTTAAGTCCATCATCAGCCCTTCAAATTTGGATAAGAAAACGAGACAATACCCACAGGCCACAACCAAAACTGGGGAGAAATATTGAACTTTGTGGATCCAAAAGCTCTCCAAGATGGACCCTTTTGAGAGTTCAGTTTGGTCTGCTGGATTTCTGGCCACAAGTTTTGGGGACCCATTTGGATCGGCTGACAACCCTATCTCAATTCTCAGGTCAACTCTGTGCATTGGGTCTTCAACTATTCTGTCTCCATTCAGTCTGACCAATTCATGATATGGATGTAACTAATAGAAATTGTCCATAACAAAGAAGTCACTTGATCTGACTTGCAAATGTTCGTACCTTTGGAAGTATGATAATGTTGCCATGGCAAGGTAAGAATTTGCTTCGAAAATAGCTATTTAACCGTTCATTTGATAGACTATATGTTGGCAATAACTAAAACGTAATAATTGACATTGGTTTTAGAGTGGAAAGCAAATGCCTCAAGCACGTCTCCCAATTTTCAAGGGGATTAAGCCGTTTGATAAAACTGAAATCTAAATTATTAACTCTAAAATCTAGAGTTTAAGTATTGAATGTATAAAGTTATTAGTTTGACAGAGTTGTAATTATTATCAAACATGCTGAAACAAAAAATAAAAATAACTCTTGATGTATTAATTTTCAACAATTAGTGGGGTTATAAAAGAGGACTCGAGGGGGAGATGATGGAGGGAGTGTAAGTGAGAGATTTCGAATTCGAACCCTCTCATTTACAATAAAAAAAAAAGGCCCCAAGTTTATAGAAAAATTTGAAAAACTAAAGATAAAAAAGGTGGATCTTCTCATTTGTAATTTATTTTTGGGAAACAATTATGGGCTTTCCAAGTACAGCAATGTGGACCCTGGTTTATTCTAAAATACCGTCCCAGATTTGTTGGGCCCAGAAGTTTCTCCAAGGATGCATATATGGGCCTTAATTCCATTAATGGGTTTGGTAGCGAAAGGCATTTCATGAGCTTATTTAAATTAGGTTGCATTTCTGTTTAGGAAAATTTATCTGCAGAATCTGTCGATCCATGCATTAAAGAGGCTATATGATTTGCATTAACAAGAGGCTCGTAGAATGTACAATGAATAACAAATCTTATGCGTTATCTATGTTGGACCCTTTTTTTTTTGCCCCAAATGTTGCACTAAACTTTGGTACCTCTAAGATTTTATATCCTCGATAGCGAAGTCAAGACTGAATTGATTTGAGTCTAATGTCAATTGGACAATCTGTAAACATCATTATAAGTTTTCTAGCACGCTCTGGTGGCACGTTCTGGTTCTAAAATAAGATAACACTACTCTTCTGTTCTTCAACTTTTAAACACCCAAAGACAGAAAACAAGAAAAACTAGAAAGAAAGGGTGATTACTAAGATCAAATCCATTACAATAAAGGGACATTCATGAATCACGAGGGCCTTCGGATTCGAGTCTTCTTCCTTTTTTGTTCCCTTTTCTTGATTTTAAGGGCAATGAATGCGCTTTGAATCTCACTAAGGATAAGATTTTTTTTTCCGATAATAAAAAAAAAAAAAGGTTTGAGCAAGTTCGATTCCGATCACCGTCCGAATCAGGGTATGGTTCCAAGACCATAGGTTTCTTTATGAGGATAAGATAGGTGCGCATCGATAAATACTTGAATGAAAAAGTAGTGTGTTGTGAAGTGTGTGATTGCTTGGATTGTAAAAGGAGCCTTTTTCGAGTCCTGTCTCAATCAATACAACTTAAGCCTAATGGTCCCTTAACTATTGTTGGCCCTTTTGCAAACAATGTCTGTTGTTCACCCTACACTGACTATGATATCTCTCAATCCCATCTTTCTTTTTAGTGTATGTGGGTATTGTCAAGCATTTATGTTTTTCTTGTTTGGATGTATTAATTTTGCAAGAGAACCACGGCCTAAATTGTACTAATTGGTCCAATGTTTTAATGCAACAATGTAGACTACGTAATTTAGTAGTATGTCCAGTGTCCTCATATCATCATTATTATGTGCAACTTGACTAAGGTTGCCATACCATTAACTGGAATTTTTCAACCTGAAAGAGACTTGCATTAATAGCGTAGTACCTTTTGCAAATAGAATTGGCACTTTGCTTTTGGCTAAGCATCTCAAACGAAAATCACGAGTGTCGATACAAAAAGAAAAACTAAAATAGGCTGCTCATTTCTTCTTCTTCTTTTTTTTTTTTTTTTTTTTGAAATTACTTACATTTGGCAGAGAAAATAATTTGAAGTTAGAGTAGGAAAGAGCTTGCTTGGGAATTTTACGACAGAATCTAGAATAAACAAGTTATGAAAGTGGAAAAAAATACTAGTTCTTTTAATTGATTGCTGGAAATCAAGTTTAACAAATAATGTGCTTTATTACTTGCGGATAATTTTTACTGGATATTCAAGGCATAACTTTTTTTCCCTTTTTTGTGTGTAATAACAACTCGTACAAAAAAAAAAAATAGAATTAAGTAAGTCCGTTCTATAGTGAACTTCACATTGTTTAGACTCTTGTTTTGGGGTTAAATTGATTACTCTTGACATGTAAAAGGATTACACAAAGTTGATTAAATCAAGTAATCAAAACGACCTCAATCAAAATATATATGGGAAAATCGTTCAAAACGTCCATCACATTTTGTAAAATAACTTTTCTATCCCTTATTTTTCAAAGTATAATTTTACGTTCCTTAAAAATTTACATTGATCAAGTTTGGTCCTTACCTAGCTTTTCGACTAGTTTTTTTGTCAAAATCCACCACGTGCCTTGCACGTGATCATTTTTGAGGGGCAAAATTGCCAAATCAAATTTCACATAATTCAATTTTTTCGTCCCCCACATTTTACAAAATGAATTTTTTCGTCCCTCACATTTCAAAAAATAAAATTTTCCATTCCTCACATTTTATAAAATGAATTTTTACATCTCTCATTGATCATGTGTACAAATAGTTTCTTTTTTTTTTTAAACCCATGTATATATTTATTTGATTTCACCTAAACAATACGAATAGTATGTAATATATCTTTATTTGATTTCATCTACAACTACAATTAGCTTATTCATGTGAAATTAAATAGGGATATATTATACACTATTTGTATTGTTCAGGTGAAATCAAATAGACATATATATGAATTTTTAAAAA